CCTCGGCCTCCCAAAGTGCTGGGATTACAGGTGTGAGCCACTGCGCCCAAGCCTTTTTTAATTTTTTTCAGAGGGAGAGTCTGTCTCCCAGGCTGGAGTGCCATGGTGCAATCATAGCCCACTGTAACCTTGAACTCCTAGGCTCAAGCAGTCCTCTTGCCTCAGCCTCCCAAATAGCTGGGACTACAGGTTCACACTACCATGCCCTACCATGCCTGGGCTGTTGAATCTCCTTGCCCTCACCTCACCCTCTGTGGCATCTTCCAGATGACCTTGGCAGAGCTCAGACGCAGACTTGACCATAACCCTCCCATGGCTAAATACATCTATTCAGGGTGGGCGTAGTGGCTCACACCTGTAATCCCAGTACTTTGGGAGGCCGAGGCAGGTGTATCATCTGAGGTCAGGAGTTCGAGACCGGCCTGGCCAACATGGTGAAACCCCATCTCTACTAAAAATACAAAAATTAGCTCTGTGTGGTGGCATGCATCTGTAATCTCAGCTACTCGGGAGGCTGAGGCAGGAGAATTACTTGAACCCAGGAGGCGGAGGTTGCAGTGAGCCAAGATCACGCCACTGTACTCCAGCCTGGGCCACAGAGCAGGACTCTGTCTCAAAAATAAATAAATAAAAATAAATAAATCTTTTCAGCAGCTCCCTCATGGCCTCTGGATGAAGGTCACCCTTCTGGGCTTGGCATGTGAGGCCCTGAATAGCTTCTCCCCGCCTACTTCATCTTCCGCTATCCACCCCCGCACCTCCTGCCCCAGATATTCTGCACTTGGCTGTTCCCTCTAGCATCCTGCCCTGCTGGTCTCTGACTAACACCAGGTTGTCCTTCAGGTCACCATTCAGCTGTAGGTCCCCCTGGAGACAGGTGGGATGCCCTTCACATCCCCACAGCCTGATGCAGATGTTCCTCCAGGACACTGATCAGGAGGCATGGCAGCCTAAGGCTGAGTGAGGTGGCTCAGGACTGTAATCCCAGCACTTTGGGAGGCCAAGGCGGGAGGATCCCTTGAGCCCAGGAGTTCAAGACCAGCCTGGGCAACATAGGGAGACCCTGTTTCTACAAAAAGTTACAAAATTAGCCGGGCATAATGGTGTGTGCCTGTAATCCCAGATACTTGTGGGGCTGAGGCGGGGGGATCACTTGAATCCAGAGGTCAAGATTGCGGAGAGCCATGGTCACACCACAGCACTCCAGCCTGAGCAACAGAAACATTATCTCCGCCAGGCACAGTGGTTCATGCCTGTAATCCCAGCACTTTGGGAGGCCGAGGTGGGCGGATCGCTTGAGGTCAGGAGTATGAGACCAGCCTGGCCAACATGGTGAAACCCCATCTCTACTAAAAACACAAAAATTAGCCGGGCGTGGTGGTGCATGCCTGTAATCCCAGCTACTGGCGAGGCTGAGGCAGGAGAATTGCTTGAGCCTGGGAGGCGAAGGCTACAGTGAGCCAAGATCGCACCACCACACTCCAGCCTTGGCAACAGAGCGAGACTCAGTCTCAAAAAACAACAATTAAAAAAACAAAACAAAACAAAAAAGAAAAAAACTGAAACCCAAACCAAAAACAAAACAGAGACGTTATCTTGAAAAAAAAAAAAAAAAATTTCCCCATTAACTGTGAGGGCCACCTGGAGAGTGGTATTATCTGTCTTCTGTCTCCAGCTCCCCACGCATCACTGGGCACCTGTTTTTATTTACTTACTTTATTTAGAGACAAGCAACTTAGTCAAGTTACTTGGTCAAGCAATGTAACCTCTCTCGGCCTCAGGTGATTGTTCTTTCTCTATAAAGTGGGAATGAATTTTAACCTAATAAGGGTCTTATTACCTCAAGCCACTCTCTTTAAAGGCATCCACCAGCTGGGCGTGGTGGTACGTGCCTGTAATACTTAGGAGGCTGAAGTGGGAGAATCACTTGCACCCAGGAGGTGGAGGTTGCAGTGAGCTGAGATCATACCACTGCACTCCAGCCTGGGTGACAGAGTAAGACCCTGTCTCCAAAAAAAAAAAAAAAAAAAAAGGCATCCAACTCATCCCTAATCTCTTCCAATCATACCAGCATTGGTGACAGTGATCCTCATCTGAAAATTGTTTTTCAAATTTTTTTCAAATTAAATTTTTTTTTCCTTGTCAGCAGAAAGTCACATCTGAATGTCTTGCTTCATTACTTGCTGCTTCTCTTGTCTGCAATGCTACTAGGCACTGAGCACGTGGGACTGACTCCTTTACTGCTTGTCCCCAGCACCCAGCCTGGTGCTGGGCACGTAGACAGTGCTCAATAAGTGTTTGTTGAATGAATAACAAATGGTCCCACATAGATGTTCCATGAGGTGTCAGTGACTTTTTTTTTTTTTTTTTTTTTTTTTTTTTTGGAGATGAGTTCTTACTCTGTTGCCCAGGCTAGAGTGCAGTGGTGCAATCATAGCTCACTGCAGCCTTGAACTCCTGAGATCGAGCAATCCTCCCACCCCAGTCTCCTGAGTAACTGGGATTCCAGATGCAGGCCACCTTGCCTGGCTATTTAAAAAAAACATTTTTTTTTTTGTAGAGATGGGGGTCTTACTGTGTTGTCCAGGCTGATTTCAAACTCCTGGGCTCAAGTGATCCTTTTTCCTTGGCCTCCCAAAGTGTTGGGATTATAGGCATGAGCCACCACACCCAGCCAGTCACCATCATCTTTGATAGCTGCAACATGTCGGCTTGCTCACTGCCATCACCCTGGGGCCCAGCGTGTGCCTGGAACACAAGGGATACTCAGAAAACGGATGTGGAAAGGGTGAGTGGAGCTCAGCACATTCAAAGAGGGACTCAGGACCCTATGGGACCCTCTCCCCAAGGCCTGCCACCCTCTCTTTCCCATGCAACCCCTCCTCCAGCCCCAGGCAGCAGGGCCAGGATCAGGCACTCTTCCCAGCTGTCCGGCCCCCGCACATTCTGCACGGGCAGGACAAGCACAAGGACGAAAGCCAAGGTCATGTGCTTGGTAATACCAGTAGTCTGAATCCCTCTGGAGAACCACGGCCCCTGCCCAGGCCACTGCTACAGCTGTCCCCTGGAAGACAGAGGCCTCTGGTTAGCTCGGGGTGGGGATCCCCTCAGAACTGACTTTCCAGGGGCCAGCAGAGTCAGCTACATCAGGGACTTAGGGTTCGGGTTAGAATTAACCAAATTGTCGAACATCAGGCCAAGAGCTTACAAGACATCCTGGAAAAACCCTTCTTTCCTCCTCCTCCTCCTCTCCTTCCCCCCCCACCTCCTCCTCCTCCTCCGGTTGCTGGGCAACCACTATGCATCTGGACCAAAGCAAGAGGCAGCTGGTTTAAAGACACACACAGACTGAAAGTGAAGGGAGGCAAAAAGATATTCTTTGAAAATGAAAACCGAAAGAGATCAGGGATAGCTATACTTGTATCAGATAAAATAGTTTTTAAGTCAAAACTAACACGAGAGGAAGAAGGTCATTATAAAATGAAAAAGGGGTCAGTTCATCAAGAGGATAAAACAATTATATATATATGCACCCAACATCAGAGGACCTAAATATATAAAGGAAATATATATGAAGGAAATATGAATAGATCTGAACTGCAATACAGGAATAGTACTGCACTTTCAACAACAACAACAAAAAACACCAGCCTGGGCAACATAGCAAGACCCCATCTCCACAAAATTAAAAAAAAAATATTTGTGGGGTGTGGTGGTGCATATCTGTAGTCTCAGCTACTTGAAAGGCTGAGGCGGGAGGATTGCTGGAGCCCAGGAGTTCAAGGCTGCAGTGAGTCATAACAACATCACTGTACTCCAGCCTGGGTGACAGACTGAGACTCTTGTCAAAAAAAAAAAAAAAGCAATGAACAGATCCAGGCAGAAAATCAGTAAGGAAACATTGGATTTGAAATACATGGTAGATCAAATGGAACTAATGACTTATGTAGAACATTCCATTTGACAGCAGTGGAACACATTCTCCTCAAGTGCACAGGGGACATACTCCAGGATAGACCATGTTAGACCACAAAGCAAGCCTAAACAAATGTAAGATTGCCAGGTGCGGTGGCTCACGCCTGTAATCTCAGCACTTTGGGAGGCCGAGGCAGGCAGATCACGAGGTCAGGAGATCAAGACCATCCTGGCTAACACGGTGAAACCCCATCTCTACTAAAAATACAAAAGATTAGCCGGGCGTGGTGGTGGGCGCCTGTAGTCCCAGCTACTCGGGAGGCTGAGGCAGGAGAATGGTGTGAACCCAG